TAATATAATCCATTACTAATTAAATTGTATTTCTTTATATATTACTAACATATTACAAAAAGTAAAGTACGTATTTAATTATTTACATTTTTCATATATTTGTATACTTAACAAACAGTTAAACTACGTAAACTCAGTAAAGTATAAAATATATTTGGGCATAATTACACATACCATGTTTACAAAATACTCTGTATATACATATTTATATAAATATACAACTTAATTAATTAAAATATTACTCCACTAGACCAGAAAAAAAATAGAGGGTACTGATCGTCTCCTCAGTGCAAATATGCTTACGCGAGGGACTGAGGGAGGGCGAGACGCGCAAGCTCTCCTGCTTCCTGGAGTTGCTACGGTGCGTATGATTCCTCCGACTTGTCTGGCTAGTCTCTACGACTTGAGTTCGAAGATGGAAACAAATAGCCCGTAAGATTATCAGATACCTTTGGGCTTTGTTTTCAATTAAAAGCCTAAATCTATTTTTTTCTGGGCCTGCACGGTTGTTGACTGGCAAAAAAGGCGACGACTTGTCGCAAAATCGCGCCTAGGCGACTCCTGGAGGATGCCTATCACGACTATTCTTCTTCTGGCAAGGCGAGTGAAGACGGCGTTAACTCCCTAGCGCCAGGACACCTAGTCGGCGACGCCGTAACAAGTATGTTCCGCAACCACAGTCACCTTCCTCGCCTCCTGGACGCCGGAATTATAATCCCTATTTCAAACGTCTCACTCGAGCAGAAAGGGCTGAACGATGTGCCAAAGGGTTGTGCTTTAACAGTGATGATGTATGGTCGGCCTCACACACTTGCAAACGCCTGTTCTGGATTGATATTGAGGATGAATCATCCAATTCAGACGCAGACAACTTAAGAATTTCAATGCATGCTATCTCGGGCCTTCGACATTCCTCTACCATGCAAATAACAGCCAGCATAGCAGGGCAGAAATCATGATTTTGGTGGATTCCGGCAGCACCCACAACTTGATGAATCGTGAGTTAGCATCCACGCTTGGGCTACATATACAGCCCCACCCAGGCCTTCATGTAGTGGTTGCCAATGGGGAAAAAGCAGCAATCCAAGGTGTTTGTCGTGGACTCTCTTTTACTGACAGTACCAGGACATACAAGGCTGATTTTTATCTTCTACCCTTACTGGGGTTTGACTTAATTTTGGGAGTACAATGGCTTCGCCAACTCGGTTCTATTCTCTGGAACTTTGACACATTATCCATGAAGTTCAAGTGGCAACGGCAGACCGTCGAATGGCAAGGAATACTACCCGACTTTCACCCATCCCTAAATCTGGCAGTAGGCGATCTCATGGAGCGCCACACCTTAGAGAGTTTGCTGGTCTCGTATGATACCCTCTTCGCAGCACCATCGGGCTTACCGCCAGCCCGCAGTTGTGAATCTTGTGATCATTAGATTACACTACTTCCTAGAACCGCACCCGTGGTCGTCCGCCCGTACCGTTACCCACATTTGCAGAAAGATGAAATCGATTGACAGTGTGATGAGATGCTTACTCTTGGCTTGATCCAGGAGGGTCTCTCTCTTCTCTTCTCATGTCTTATTGGTGAAAAAGCACGATGCGTCGTGGAGATTCTGTATTGACCACCGTGAACTAAATTCCAAAACTGTGAAGGACAAATTTCCCATTCCGGTGGTTGATGAGTTGTTGGATGAGTTATATGGGGCGAAATATTTTTCCAGACTCGACCTATGTTCGGGTTACCATCAAATTCCCAAGACAGCGTTTCGCACTCATCATGGCCATTTTGAATTCCTTGTCATGCCATTTGGGCTCTCCAATGCCCCTTCTACCTTCCAAGGCTTGATGAATAACATCTTCCGACCCTACCTTCGAAAATTTGTTTCGGTGTTCTTTGACGACATTCTTGCCTACAGTCGCACATGGCTCAAGCACCTTCACCACCTCCGCCTAGTCCTCGAAACATTGCGTGTCCACACCCTGTTTCTCAAGAAATCCAAATGTCACTTTGGAGACACGCAAATAGCTTACCTTGTGCACATCATTCACGGAGCAGGTGTGGAAGTCGACCGTCAAAAGGTGCAGGCTGTTCTGGACTGGCCCATTCCGCAATCAGTCACAGCCTTACGAGGATTTTTTGGGTCTCTCGGTGTACTATCGCAAGTTTATACAAAATTATGGTAGCAAGGCAGCCCCGCTCACCAACTTGCTTAAAAAGCACTCCTTTAGCTGGTCGGATGAGGCACAATCGGCCTTTGATGAGTTAAAGTTTTGTCTCTCCTCTGCGCCAGTTCTACAGTTACCCAATTTCGATAAGGAATTCTTGATCGAATGTGATGCATCAAGCAGCGGGATTGGGGCAGTCCTCCAACAAGATGACCACCCAATTGCATACTTTAGCCGCACATTAGCCGCACGCTACACCCGTCTTGCAGCATACGAAAGGGAACTGATCGGTCTCGCAAAGGTAATTACTCACTGGCAACCATATTATGGGGTCGAAGTTTTGTCATCCGTACTGACCATTCAAGCCTCAAGTATCTTCTCGAACAAAGACTCACTACTTCCCCGCAACAGCATTGGCTCAGTAAGCTTATGGGCTTTGTTTTCACAGTTGAATACAAACCGGGCCGCCTGGATGAAGCCGTGTCTGAAATCACGGCCATATCTCTGCCAGTTTCCAACCTATTTGATGAGATCAAGGAAGAGTCCACATTGACTCCAGAAATCGTCGCTTTGAAGGAGCAAATATTAGCGGGTGCTAAGGGGAAAGACTGGACAGTCTGCGATGGGATCATCTTCTTTAAAAACAGAATCTATTTGCTGCCAACCTCCACCACTATTCCAACCATTCTGGCATCTATTCATGGAGTTGCCCACGAAGGAATGCTGAAAACCCTACACCGCGTGCGCCGAGATTTCTTTTGGCCTGGCATGAAACAAACAGTGGAAACCTATGTTAAAGAGTGTACCACATGCCAACAACATAAATGGCAGACTTTACAGCCCGCTGGATTACTACAACCCCTTCCAGTACCGCAACACATATAAGCAGATATCTCCATGGATTTTGTTGAAGGACTTCCGAAGGTACATGGCAAATCCACTATACTTGTGGTGGTAGATCGCTTGTCGAAATATGGCCACTTTATTCCCTTGGCTCATCCTTTCACTTCAGTGGCCACAATATTCTTTGCTGAAATCTTTCGCTTACATGGCTTACCGGAATCCATCGTGAGTGACCGCGATAAAGTCTTTGTAAGTTCTTTTTGGAAGGAACTCTTCCGACTTAGCAGATCCAAATTGGCATTCTCATCAGCCAATCACAGTTACCAATCGGGCAGACAAAGGTTACCAATCGGACGGTTGAAATGTTCCTACGTTGACTCACGAGTGATCTCCCAAGACAGTGGGTACGCTGGTTACCATGGGTGGAATATGCCTATAACACTTCATTTCACACTGCACGGGGAGATACTCCATTTCGTTTGGTGTATGGACGTGATCCACCTCGTCTATTGTCCTATGTCCCAGGTGCAACTAAGATGGATGCCGTCGACAAGACACTGCTCGAACGAGATGTGGCACTAGCCAGTGCCCGAAACAGACTCTTACAAGCACAACAACGCATGAAACTCCAGTATGACAAACACCATCGCGAGTTGGAATTCAAGGTCAACGACTGGGTTTGGTTGAAAATACACCCATATCGCCAGTTGTCCCTCACCCGACAGAGACATACGAAACTCCTTCCCAAATTTTATGGTCCAATTCATGATGTTTTTCATGTCTCTGTTCTGAAACCGCATGAAGGGCCGCCTCCTACCGCATTAGGGGTTTTACCACCCTTGTGTGATGGCCAGGAACTGCCAGTGCCACACACAGTGCTTCGCAAAAGATTGAACCGTGGTATGCTTGAATTTCTGGTCCAATGGGTTGGTAAGTCAGCTGAAGATGCCACCTGGGAGCCATCTGCCATTTTCTGTGATGCATATCCAGAGTTTCAGCTTGAGGACAAGCTTTTTCTTCAGGAGGGGAGTGATGTTATAGACTCTTTCATTGGCAAACAATACAGGCGTAGGGCCCGCAAGACAGCAGAGGCAGGAGATGAGCAGACCGCACAGGAGTCCTAGTTCTATTATTCTTAATGTATTCATTATTTATTAATTTATTTATTATTCATTAGTTTATTAATTTAGACTTCTTTTACTGTTAGTCTCCTATTAGGAGAATTAGGGTTAGCCTTTTCCTATATATATATATATATATATATATATATATATATAGGTAATCACATGTACGGCTGATCATTATTAATAAAGTTCAGATTCTATCGGCAAGGCCAAGTCTCTCTCTTCCACCATAGGTCGTAAGAAGCCTTCTGGCTTACAACCTTCTTCACTCGATCCTTCCACCACCGAGACAAGGTCTGGGCCGTGGACATGATCCTTCACCGCCAAACATAACATTATGCTTTCAAATTTGTATCATCTTCCATCAGTCCATGACTTCTCAAAATTTTCCTTACCAGGAGGTCATCACAGGAAAGAGCTTCGCTACTCCTAGGGGTAAACTTATGCTCAAATTTCATTTCACCTTCCCAAGACCATACTTGCGTGTACGACAAATTGAGTATGTTTGTTTGGTTATCTATATTTGTTAATTTCTTTTAACATTCTCATCATCGATAATTTGTTCACGTAACTGAAAATGAGAATTCAAAATAGGATGAAGCAAAATCTTCATGTGCAAAACTAGAACCCCTTCACTTAAACTTACTTTAGTCCTCCGACTTAACAAGACTAAAACAGCACCAAATGGTACTAAAATACACAAAATATTCAACCTCACTAGACTAAAACAAACTAGAAGAAATAAGAACATAAGTTTAGACCCGACCAGGCGTCCAGGCCACTTCAGCCTAGTATATTCAATGCAAATGAACAGTCCCATAGAATGAAGTACCTGTGGAAGTATAAAAGATTCATCTAAGATGATTACCTCAAGGGGATCGCTTTCACCCTCCAAATCAACCATCACAGGAGCATTCATGCTGATCTGAAGAGCTCGAGTACCCAAAATTCTTGCTCTTTCATATTTTGTCATGTACTTTGATGTTTTCCTAGGCCTTTCCACAGCAACCTCTTCAGGTTTGTCTTCACCCTCGCCTATTAAGGCATCAGGTAGGTCCTCATTATTGGCATCCTCCTCTGCCTCAATTCCTTCCTGTAAAAAACTCACACAATGATACAAAACTTCAAAAATTGGGACTAGTTCATGTTAGTGTTACGCAAAAGAAAACTAAATTTAGCACAATGCCCAAAATCAGGTTACCTCAATCTCAGGCTCAACTGGCTCATCCTCATATCTGAAACACATGCATTGACAATTCATAAGTATTAAGTACTACAAAGGTATCATAAATCCTTGAAGAAGCATAATGTTGAAAAAATGACACAACTAAACAAAAAGTACTAGCTCATGCATGCCAAGCAAAGTAACTACAACTCATAATAAGAGCCTTAGCAACACACCATAAATATATATATGCATATTTCAGTGCTTTGAGCGAGGTTAGTGAATCTCGGGTATAAGCAAATTGCGCAATAGTATCTCGCCTTGAGGTGCGCCTTGCTGATTTTCGACCAAAATGCGATTAAAAGGCGTATCCTAATTGATGCCATAGAAAGGCATACGCCTTTTGAGGAGAGGCGTACATTCTAAAGCGGCGCAATAGGGCGAGGCGAAATCATACGCAATAGAAGAACGTCAATAATTGAAAAAATCTGCTCCCCCCGGTCTCCTGCTCTATCTCTCGCCTCTCACCTCTAGTATTTGTCTCTGTGTCTCGCCAACCAATCCGCCACACTTGTCAATTGTCTTGCCATTGACTCCGCCACACTCCGCAAGTTATCCAACATCTCACTCGTAGGTTTATAAAACTTTATATTTATTCAACTTGTTTGTTTTTGTGGAAATCATCAAGTCTTTTGTTCAATTAATGCTTTCCTTTACATGTCATGCTTTTGTTGGTAAGTTTCCGGTATGTCTTAAGTTTATATTGCTGGTATGTCCTAAGTTTCGTTAAATTGCAGGCAAATTTAATTGTGTAATTTTAAATTTAATTATTTTTTGATATATATATATATATATATATATATAGAAACATTAAGATATATGTTGATAATCATATTTTGGATTTATGACTCACTCTGTCATTCAGTAATCTAATAAACTAAGAATGTTACCTTAAGTAATTTGTATGATGTCATGTTTGAACTCACAAATTCCATTACTTTATGACATTATTGTTGAGTTGTTTATGAAATTTGTTGTTTTGGATTAATATTTACTTCTTATTATTTCAAAAAAATTATATACACAAATTCCGTACAAATAAAGATTTACGCCTCATTTTTACGCCTCAATGCGCCATGAGGCTTACGCAATACGCAATACCCCAAAACCGCCTCGTAAACGCAATACGCAATACGCAATACGCCCACTAGATTTACTACATTAATTAAGGAAAGCAACATCACTACTGAAAATTTTAAAAGCAGCTTTGCCTACAAAAAAAAACCAATTTCTCTCCTTCAGCTAGCATTTTCACATCAACAACTGTTCTTTCTAAGAGGTAAACCTAAGGACGGCATACATCTCATCCACCCTATGCTTCACAGTGCCTACTTCCGAGTGCGAACTATTGTGTTTCACTTACGTAGATTGATTTTATTTCAATCCATGGAGCTCACATCGGACTAAAGTAGAATCAATAATCGTTTCCGAAGGGTATAGGAATTAGGAAATTTAATTTAATATGTATAAAAACCCTAACATTCAGAAACAGTTAGAGAGTAGCAAATAATGAAGAAATCCTTAAAATCGCGATAGCAAAAAAGGAATCTAACTGATGAGTACCCTCCATCCATCTCATAGTCCTCGTCCGCCATTCTTTTTTCTCCCGACCGCCAAAGGTGAACTCAGTCAGGGCTGGTCCTGAGAAAACGGAGACCCTGTGCAATAACAAAATTTGGGTCTTCCTTTCTAACACAAATAGAAATAAAACATAAATAAAAATGATAACAGTACCAAATACTGATAATTTGTGTTAAATTACAAGTTCAAAAAGAAAATAATAATAAAACCCAAAGTCTTCCCTAACAAAAAACTTTCCATGTCTTTCTGAATAGGATTGCTAAGTTACACAGGCAAAACAGTGTCATCAATTATAAAAATATCAGAAACAGCATATACTAAACAATACACATCCTTGAAACGTTTTTTAGTTATATTTCCCATCAAATGCTTCAAACCAACAAACTTCACCTCATATGGATGTCAGGCAGACTAAAAATTCCACAAAGCCCTCCCCACTCAGGCACTGAAGTTCTTCCAACTTTGTCATCTTTAACTAACATCTTAACAAGTATAAACATATTTATACCAAATTATTAAAAATAAATAGTTTAATTAGTTCATCAATTAATTACATTAAATTATAATTAAATAACAACCTGATTAGTTAAATTTCATTCATCATCATCATTAACTCATCATCATGGACAAAAATTGCATGGACGGACTGCTCTTCATAACAATTGCAAATTTAGAGAGTAAGAATAAAGTGAAAATGCATGGTGGCAGTAAGAAGAATTAATTGGGACGACCCAAAAAAGAAAGTTGTAAGAAATTACGGGAACAGAGGGAGTGGTTAAAATCACTAAATCAATCGCTTAATCACAATATCACATATTCACATATATTACGTTACAAATTAATAATGAAACCTGGAGGCTGCAGAGGTTGAGAAAGTGAGATGCGTAGAGCGGTAGAGCGGTAGAGCGGTAGGGCGATAGAGCTTGCGACACTGCCCGTACGCGGCTACGCTCCTTCTCCCAACAAACAATTGTGTTGTTTTTTGCTATTGGGCTCTTGGCTCTTGGGCTAATACTTCCCCCTCCATCTATTATAGTCAATTAAAGACTAGGTAATACTTCCCCCTCCATCTAGGATTTATTTGGAACTGATCCTGATTCTGCTTCTTTTTTAAAGTAGAAGTAGAATAAGAATCAGTTTTCAGAAGCTGGTCACCCCCAGCTTCTAAAAAAAATGATTCTAGGAGTAAATTAGAGCACCAGAATCACTTCTGCACTTTTATCCAAGCACTTCAACTTTTGTTTCTGCTCCCTGAAAGAGCAGAAGCAGTTTTAAGAATCAAATCCAAACAACCCCTAATATTGTCTAATTTTTACTTTTTCGGAAAATCACACTAAAATGGTCTCATTTTTACTTTTTCGATAAATTCAAATAAAATTGTCTCATATCAAATTTGTTAAAGATTATGTGTTCTAAAACATTCTTACTTTATTCTTATTTTGTCAATTAATACCAATCACATAAACTCACTTTTCTTAATGTGTCACTCATTCTGTCCCAATATTAGTGGGACGGAGGTAGTAGTAATAATAATGGATGTTTGGAGCACCCATCTTTCTAAAAGCAGAATCAGTTATTAGAAGGTGGTCTCCCATAACTTCTAAAAAGCTGCTTTGGTAAGCCATTTGAAGCACCCAGGAGTACTTCTGCATTTTCAGCCAAACACTCCAATATTTGCTTCTCCTCTTTAAAGGAGCATAAGTAGTTTTAAGAAGCAGGTCCAAACACCCAATACTACTAGTAATTTTTATCGGGGCTTGTGCAGTTGGGCTGCCAACCCTCTCCCGAGTCGGCCTTGTTATTCAGTCTTCAGTTGAATCCATGACCCCCGACACAGAAGAATAAAAGTTAGCTCGTAATTACTTTGTAATCTTGTATATTATAACTACAGCAATAGACATAGCCAAAAAAACAAGAGCAGTAGACTCTTATGGCGTGTGGATTGACGAGGCGATGACCAAATATACTACGAAGTACTCCGTAATGTCAAGTTATTATTAGGAATATGCCGTGTGTATACGCTTTTTGTACACATCGATCAAATTATCTTCAGTTGACATCGGGATTGCACAGAGTGACAAAGCCGTGAGTTTATTAAGGAATGTGATGGAGTATATGGCCCGGGAACCCCCGGCCCACAGACTCCTACTACTCCACCAAAGGCCCAACAGGCCCAACAGGCCCAAATCACAGCGCCCAGAGTACCAAGCAGTCCGCACAACGCACAGGGGTGCCTTCGGCCCCCTGGCCGAAGGCTCCAAATTATCACAGAGCGGGTTTCTCAAGCAAATTAGGAAACTGGGAGAAAACGGCGAAAATAGTAGCCCTCGGCACCGTGAGCCCTCGGCACCAGCGTGCCATCGGGTGGGAGAGCCCTCGGTTACTGCTCTGTAGCCGAAGGCATCTCACTCGACAAGATATCTGCCTCACATGCGTACAGATCACCGTACCCCGCACAGACGTCCCGTCCAACAGCCGCATTAAATGCGGCCATATGCGGCTGCCAGCGCCAGCCAGTCGAGGTGACCCCTCGGCCAATGAGCGCTTGACACGTGTCCCTGCCCGGCATTTATTGCTACTATAAATAGCACCTCGTTTCCCCATTTGTAACGACGCTGAAAACGCTGAATATATATCGAATATACACTTTCTCTCTTACTTGTTCGCTCTGACTTCTCTCTAAGTTATTCCCCGTAATAACCCTTCGGATATATACCCCCGGGTAGACTATCCATCATTTGGTGCTCTCGTTGAGAGGTTGAACAATCGAGTAAGAAACCCTCCCCCTCGACCAAACACAAACACTAGCCCTCTATCAAAATGGTGAGGACAACACGTGCCAACTCAAAGAGCGTAGAAGACAAGAACCTGCCCCTCGGCGACGTCAACGCCCCCGAAGCCTCTCACAGGGCTCCCGAGGGCGGTGTCCTCGCTGGGCTGGAACAGGCGGCTGTCGACCTACGCCTTCAGATCCAACAAAACGCCCCCGATGCCCGCCTCGGCATCGAGGCCAAGAAGAAAAACCGGAGCGATGACCAAGTCAGCCCTCCGGTTCTCACCATCGACGTACAATCGGCGCTCTCCGCCTTCATCCAAACGCTCACCCAGAACCCGGGTGCCTTCGGCACCCTGGCTCCAGCTCACCCTCAGATCGGGGAAAATATCATACTTCCCCCTCTGCCACACCCCTTCGGAAATCCCACCCCTCGGGTGAGAAACGACGAAGGGGTGGTGGCCCAAGAAACATCCTCCCAGGAAGTTCAGTCCCGGGACCGCCATAATGACAACAGGGAGAGGCCCCGTACTTCCGCCCTCAACCGGCTCGGAGGAGGGCCAAACCGCCGAGGGGTCCAAGACCGCCTCGGGGGGAAAGCACTCCAAAGGCCCCAGGAAAGCGGGGGATCTGTTTCGAGGGCAGACGAGGAGCGCCCCCCTCGGGACAAAGGCAAGACACCCCTTCATGCCGATGATGCTCGCCACCAAATCAACCAGGCCCACTCGGCCCGGGTTCGTTCGCAGGGGGCGGAGACCCTCCCGAGGGACCCCCGGGACGAGATCATTGCGGCCCTCCAACGCCGGCTTGACGAGATGGAGTCCAACAAAGCTTACGCCACCACCTCCACCCCTCACTCAGACCTCAAATATGAGGCCATGATGGCCAAAATGGAGGAACTACAGAAGAAGGTGGCCGAGGGCTCCGGGGAACCCGTCATCCAGCTCCGGACTCGGACGCCATTTACCCCAAGGGTATTGGTGGCCCGGATCCCGGAGAAATACCGAGGGCAACACATACAGCCCTACAGCGGAAAAACGGACCCCCAGGAGCATTACAGCAAGTACCAGAACAGCATGATGATGGTGGGGGCGTCAGACGAATATTTGTGTCGTTGGTTCCTCTCCACCTTAGAGGGACCAGCATACGAATGGTTCAACAGGCTGCCCGAGGGCTGTATTGATTCATGGCAAGAACTCGCCCAGCGGTTCTTAACACAATTTGCCGGGAGGCGTCGCACAAGGAAGCACTTCTCCCACCTCCTAACGATACGCCAGAAGAAGGATGAGACCCTTCGGGATTTCCTGGAGCGCTGGAGGACGGAGGCCGACAAGGTCGACGGTGCTGATGACGGGACCCTCCTGGCCCTCCTACAAACCGTCCTCCGCACCGGCAACTTTTCAAGGAGCCTCATCATTGAACCCCCCCGCGACTACATAAGGGCCTTGCAGCGGGGGGACAGATATGCTGAGGCCGAGGAGGTGGAGAAGTATCACCAGCATCCGGACCAGCAGCCCCTGAGGGCTGACAACAAGCACAACCGAGGGCCGGGGGCTCCTCCAAATCGCCCCAAGGCTTCGGGACCCTCTGATGATCGCCCTCGGCAAGGCCAAGCCAAGCCCGGGGGAGGTTATAGGAGCAACCCTAAGACTTGGGCCCAGCCCATTCTCCTGGACCGCCCTCGGACCCCATTGACGCACCCTGTCAGCATCATCCTCGATTTTGCCGAGGAGAGGGGCCTCGTTGAGCGTGACTCTCGCGCACCCCCGGAGGTACACGCTATCAACCCTCAGTTCCCCTACTGTCGCTTCCATCGGCACCAGGGGCACAGGACCGATGACTGCCATCAGCTGAAGACGACCATCGAGAGGTTAATACAAGCAGGGCACCTGTCCCAATTTGTCCAGAGCCCTCGGTAGGAGGGACCTTCTCACCAGGGTCCTCCCCGAGGGCATCACACGAAGGTGAACGCTTGGGTAAACCCGAATACCATCCCCCTCGGCAAGAAAAGGGAGATTGGAAATTTGGAAGAAGAGGAGGAGGAATACCCCCACTACCAGGAGAAAAAACGCCACATCCTCATGATCACCGGTGGCAATACAGGGGGCGATTCCACCAGCCAACGAAAGAAGTGGGCTCAATCGCTTTACGTGGGGGAAGTCACTCATATGCCCCCGGTAAAGCGACTGAGGGAGGAACCCAGCGCGGAGAAATTGGGATGCCTTGGTGATTCGAACGGAGATCAACGACACCATCATTCACCGAACATACGTTGACACGGGCAGCTCCGTCAATGTAATGTACCTCAGCACCTTCAGAGAGCTGCATCTGGAGAGGGGGTCTCTTCGGCCCATTAAGACCCCTCTCGCCGGCTTCACCGGCGATACTATTGATTCCGAGGGGGTAATAACCCTCCCGGTGATCTTCGGCGACGGGATCCATAGAGCCCAGCTCGAAGTGGAGTTCGTCGTCGTCAACATTGACTGCGCTCACAACATCATCCTCGGCCGGCCAGCCCTCGAGGACCTCGAAGCCATCATCTCCATGAGGCATCTCTGCCTCAAGTTTCCCGCCGAAGGGGGCATTGGCTACTCCTGGGGGAATCAAAAAATTGCCCGCGCCTGCTATCTTCAGGTCACTAAGAAGGTAAGCAAGACGGAATTCCGTGTTGACACCATCACCGGAGCCGTCGACGAAGAGGAAAGAAGGCCGAGGGCTGAACCGGCCGAGGACGTAGAAGACTTTGCGCTCGATCCCGCCCAGCCGGAGAGAGCCGTGAAGATTGGAGCCCAGCTCCCTGAACATTTGAAGACCGGTATCACCGACGCCCTCCGCGCCTACTCCACTGTCTTTGCATGGGGGCCGGAGGACATGCCGGGAATCAGCCGAAGGGTCATCACCCACCGCCTCTCGGTGGACCCTTCGGCAAAAGCAATACAACAACGAAGGAGACCCCTCTCCGCCGAGAGGAGGGAATTCGTGAAGAAGGAAGTCGCCATGCTCCTCTCAATCAAGCACATCAAGGAGGTGAAATACCCCTCATGGCTAGCAAATGTAGTCCTCGCACAGAAGCCCCCCACCTTCCGCATGTGCGTGGACTACACCGATCT